CCCGCCACAGTCCTGACACAGCTACTGAAAACAAAGTTGAATGAAGCATCGGGCCCGGATGAACGATCACTTGTGGTTATAAAGGTATGTACGGACACCCTTTCAACTCCATTATCCAAAATATCCAATGACTGTCTGATAAGCGGAAAAATCCCTGATATTTGGAGNGAGACTGGCCAAGATAACTCCCGTTCCAAAAAAAGGAACCTGGGTAGTATCGTCCCATCGCCTGCAAGTCAGTCATGCTCGAATTATTTGAGAGACGCTTGTTACCGTGGGTTGTCACTGAATCTGAAGAAGACATCAATTTGCATATCGCTCTTTGCGCTCAACACTTGATGCCATTCCATACCTTGTTCATCAATAAGTTCAGCACTATATAAGAAAAGTAAGACCGTCAGAGTGATGTTCTTAAACTACAAAAACGATTTCGGAAGTCTTGGTCGATCAAATTTGCTCTACCTGATTGCCGAAAGTGATGTCAACCCAATCGTTAGCAGATTGATCTGCGATTATTTCACAAATAGAAGGTAGTTTAAGTGCCTCAACGGCAAAAAGTCCTCCACTCCCAGTTTCTTCTGGTGTCCTGCAAGGTACATTGTATGTCAAACAATTTGCCATTCCTCCCGCATTCATTGATTGCAAAGCATCCATCCCTGAAGAGGCTTTAGAAATTCAAAGCAAGCTAAACGATGTTGTTACTTGGTCCTTGTCCCGTTCCCCTCATTGAATGCCTCTAAACGTCAGGATGTGTTTTCCCTCTTGGCCGAAGAACCATATTTAGCCCTTACAGATAGGTTCCCCACTCTTTCTGCCAATTACCAACCCTTACCGAAATCAACAGTTGTAAAATACCTTTGCGTCAACTTATCACACAATTTATCATGGCCACGGCATGTTGAAAACATTCTGTAAAGTTAGAAAGCTTTCATATTTATCACTCTGATTGAGAATACTTTCTGTTCCCCACAAGCTGATTGTTAGTTTTGTGAATGCACCTGTGCTCCCCAACTGGTTGTACTGGCCCTACTGATCTTCCCCAGTATGCTGAAAAAAGCTTTTTTATTTACTGGCGAGATCTCTGGAACATATATCTAAATGTAGTGGCATTGCCAGGGATAAACTTTCAGACTATATCACAGACAGACATCTACAAGCATGTGCAAATCATACGGCCAAAAGACACTCTCAGACATTACACGATGAATTTTAAAAAGCTGTATCTACATCATCCACACGCTGAAGGTTCTAACCTTTATTTGCACGTACCTGTTCGTATCGTAATTCTGATTTGCTATATCTAGCACGTCTACTTGTTGATGAGGAGAAAGTTTCCACAGAATTACGCAATTGCTTGCTTCATTGAAAAAGGCGATATCTACTGCCTTCAGCTTCACTTTGCATGATTTTGTAAATTTGCATCCATAACTATGGTGTAAAAAGCTGATAATTCACTCATGCGGGTGCATAAAGCTACTACTGACTTAACTTGGATGATTTAAATGCACGAATCGTGAGATGCTTTAAGACACCTTAGCAAACAACTCAAAATTTAGAGGACAAAAAGGACAGAGAAATCGTTAATACGACAAACACTGACGTTACATCTTATGCTTGAATTGTGAAAAGCTGTTATTTTGAGAGTTTGAGCTGCCTATCCTTCGGACTTCACCTTCACGCACAATCCTCAGTTCATCGATTCGACCATACATTCGGAAGCACTAGACTCGAGTTTCGCTCTTATTAGAGCTCATCAGTAGTGCATATCCACCGTCCTGTCCGGGATTTGAACTCCGGACCCATCGCATGGAAGACGTGTGTTATCACCGCGCCAACCAGCCCATGTCATGGCTGAACCAAATTGCCAATTCATGTTTGTTCAGGTTTCGTCTTCAGTGATAGTCAGTTCAGAGTGGCCCGACAGCAACGAAGAGAGACACAGTTGCCTCGGTGGGATTTGAACCCACGCATGGACCCCGCCCACGCTTTTGTACAGCACGCGATCTATCATCTGATATTACGTCATCAAACGTATGGTGTGGTGTGGTAGCGCATAGTGTCTTTTGATTATTCTGTTGTTTGCAACTATTTGAAACCGGTGTATTTATATATAGCTACAAATTGTAGCGGACGGACTTCCAAGCACCACTTCCGTGATGGCTTTCAGTTTGTCGAGGCCGTCAGAGAGACAAACATTGAAAAAGATAAGACAAAGTTTCCTCTGGAAGCTTCCGGTCAGATCACAAAAATATATCACAACTGGCAGTGTTGGACTGCATCCGTCCATTTATCGGAACTGAAGACAACTTTACCGGAACACCTACAAGCAGCCTGAAGTTGATTTTTTAAGTTGTAACTTTACCGTGTACTTTCTACCAGAAGGAGCATATCATCCATAAAGAGATGTAGTCGCTACAGGGCCAACGCACAGCTGATATTTGTATGACCAAGTTGGAATGCGAGAGAGCGTACTGAGCTCAGCGATACCATCGCCACCGTGATGCTGGCGACACTTCTGCACTGCTGCGCAGCATAAAGATACTAATGCGATTGCAGAAAGGTCAACAATCCTTTACTGAACTAGTAAGGTTTCCTAAAAGTTGATCAGACGAGATGTCTGGATGACAGAATCCAAAGGCAAGTTTATAGAAAAGTGAAATGGAATGGACAGCACACAAACCATCATAGATTTGTGTCCATAAAACAAGAAAGATATTGACTGTGTTGAAATTAAGAACTGGACCCAAACGCTTCGATGACACGCTGAACGTAAATCGTGAAAAAACAACAAACAAATCACCAGGGTTATATGGTTAGAGTCAACACCTACTCGAAATCAATCATCAAGTGGACATAAGTCAAGCGTTCAGAACCATTTATCGTACTCCACCGTTATCATCTAAATCAGTACGCTTTCTCTTTCTGTACACGGCTGAAGCAATTGCGATCAAACTGCTTGCTCCCCCCCCCCCACTATGCAATCAGAAGTGTTTCGTCCAGGCATTATATCTACCATGACCACCAAGCGACAAACGGATGCGAGCGTGGTAACTGAAAGAATGATGCAACCAAGGGGAAGCTGAATCAAATTGTTGACGCACGTAGGATCGCTTTGTACATAGGGTGATAAGATCCACCACGTACAGGATCAAACAATAATGAATCATCAGGATTGGCTAAAAAGCCGTCTATTATTCTTCGCTTCAAAGATGATACCACGACGGTGAAGACTAACGGGGTGTGACATGATAAATTCAAAGTCACGTTGAACACAGCTAAGCAGAGACGTCAGTACTCAGCTGCTCCTGCGCTCAGATGTGAGAACGTGGACAGGTTGCTTTTGTTGACCGCCTTATTAGTCATCTATCAGTATAAGTACACCCATTGGGTCAAACGCATAAAAAACAAGTCAAGCTGAGTTCAACGATAGGCCAACAGCACGGTCTCTCGAGGGACCGCACGGCACTTACTCGAATCAGGGCATTTGATGAAAGTTCCTCTTTATTTTCAAATAGCACGTTTCCCCGGAAGCCGTTGTTACTTCCTCTGATGGAATATATAATGAAACAATCTTTAGTCAAAAGGAGACATCAAATCAAAGGGCCACCATACAACACAGAATGGAGAAAGCACAAGCCATCCGGGGCAACAAATTGGTATCTTTTACCACTCTGCAACAACCGCCACACGCGCATATAGATGTAGGAATCGAATGGACGGAGTTAAAGCTTACCAAGTGATTTTTACACCATGTTTGTCCATTAACGTGGTTGCAGTAGACCAGCTTGATCGCACAATAGACGGGAATCCAAATACGGGATCCAGACAGGATTCCAGATAGCTCTTCGTCAGTGGATCTGAAAAATCAAATGTAAGCCAGATTATTTGTTTATTTTTCGAACAGCAGTGAGTATGGCAGACAGAGATTTAGTACGGCACTACACTGCTTTTTTATCAATAGCACACCGTACCGAATGCGAACGTTCTACTAGATTTTCAGTGTTCATCAGAAGCAGTTACTCCGGTCAACGAATTCGATAAGAACGGCGGTGGAAACGTAGTTCTCACTTGACACTGTCAACGTTTCAGGTTTGGTTCCACAAAATTGCATCAGTTAGCGGTTACACATTAGGAGTCGTTTACTTGGTGAAAATGATGAGGCGATGACAGCTGAATCTTCGACATTCCACTGACCAGCAATTTTCATAATACGTAAGTTTGATGACTAGTAGTAGCCGGACACCAGTTTATCCCTTGATGATTTCGTAAAAATATCAAGAGCAGAGGTCTTTTGACCACAATAAAACTTTGATTAACCCGGTGAATGGATGATTTAAGCCGCCTATCCGTGTTTAAATACTAGCAACCACAGCACAATGCACTGGTGACAGACAACAGCAT